GGGGGGGGAGGTTACTGACAGAAGGAGTGTGAATGCGTGTCCGGCAGTGGTACCACCACTAGCTAAGGTGTGTGTGGCAGCTGGGGTCTCAGGGCCTCGCCGACACACACACACACACACACACACACACACGGCACGAACTTGACAAGAGCGGGGCGAATTGCTGCTGCGGGGCGTGGTGAGGCGTGGCGCAGAACAATTAGCATATGATCCCACATTACTCTCTCTCTCTCTCTCTCTCTCTCTCTCTCTCTCTCTCTCTCTCTTTCTGGAGCGTCTGCGCCTGGAAGGGGTGAGGGCTGGAGGCTGGAGGGTGACGCCATGCGTTGAAAGGGACAGGATGCGGTCGGGTCGGCGAAGAGTTGTCCGGCCCTCGCTGGACTGTACTGCAGGGTGACGAGGAGGAGCATGAGTATCTCTCTCTCTCTCTCTCTCTCCCTCCCCTCCCTCTCCCTCCTCTCTCTCTAACAGGCGCGCCCGTGTCCTCCTGCTCCTCCCACACCAATGACTTGGACTTGAACAATGATATCAGCAATAACATCTCACCAAACAACAATGACAAGAAGCTTTGCCGCCAACAACAACAGCAGCAGCAGCAGCAGCAGCAGCAGCAGCAGCCCCACCTCGCTCGGCCTGCGACTGACAGACCCTCCCTCCTTAACCCCCTAATGCTCTCTGTCTCCGCCGCCACGCCGCGCCACGCCACCGGGGGCGACGCCCAAACAATTCCTCGTGTAATGGTTGTGATTATCCTCCAGGGACGCTATCCAGGGACACGCCGGGGCTGGGGTGGGGCCGGGTGGGGCTCCCGGCCACTTGACACCCCCGCTTAAACACCTCAGAACACCCCATGACCACGGAGGAACGCCTCAGGCACCCCCGAAGAACATCCTATAACATTCTGCGACAACTGAGAACCCCTCAGGATACTTCACATCAACTCCTGTGAACGCCTCAGGATACCTCAGATCAACCACTGACAACGCAGAACGCCTCAGGATGTCTCAGATATACTACTAGGGGGAGGCCTCAGGAAGATCAACCACTGGGAACGCCTTGGGAATGCCTCAGCTCAACCACTGAGAATGCTTTCCCAGGGTGACTTCGACGACCTCGGGCACCTTTTATAGGACACTCACCTGCGAGTCCTTGAGGCCCAGCTTGTCGGCGAGCCGCTTCCGGTCGGGCTTGGAGATGTACTTCTGGAGCTGGAACCTCTTCTCCAGGCCCTTGCGCTGCAGGTCGGAGAAGACGGCGCGCCGCATCATGCCGCGCCGGGGCTTCCCCCTGGAGGAGTGCGCCCAGGGGAAGGAGCCCGGCAGCGGGAACACCGCGCCCTGGGCGAGGCCCTGGCCGCCCGCCTGACCGGCCCCCGGCGACACTGCCAACAGGAAGCCAGCAGGGGCATCAGCAAACAAACACTCACAATAAGAGGGGATTTTCTAAAAAATTGAAACATTTACATTTTCACAGTTTTTGGTGTTGCTGTTTAATGATCAAGACTGGAAATAACTGAGCATGGTACACGTGAGAAACAGGAAAACATCTTGCAAATGAAAAAAAAAATGCATATGTGTTTCGTGTTTGAGAGTTTAGCTTATGTATTACTTTGTTCAATTATAGATCGAAGGCTACCTCATCATTCCAAAATGACGCTTAAGTCAGTCACAACATTATCGTGAAATTGTAAAAATTCTTGCAGTTAAAAAATACATTTTTGAATCTAGATGCCTTTATTATTTTAAGATACCTATACATATCTATAGATGCCTTGATGCCTAGATGTAAAACTGAGTTCCTTATTGTTTTCCTCTTACAATATCATACAGATATTGACGTCGTTGGTGCTTCTGAAAACTTTACGAGGTGACCAAGGAGGGTGGTTTTGTGGTGTGCGCAGATGGGAGTTGGTCGAGTTGCGGCAGGAGGAGGAGGAGGAGGAGGAGGAGGAGGAGGATGACGACGAGGAGGAGGAGTGCCTCAGCCATGAATATTCCCTCCACTCTCGGTCAGCCTGCTCCGGCTCTACGCTCTATGCAAATGCCGCCGCCATCCGATCCTCCTCATGGCAGCAGGTTTTCATCCCTCTCCCACTCGCGGTGTGCGGTCCGCGAGGATATTTTCATGGAGTCTGAAACAATACGGTGCGGCGGCTCTGGTGCGTGTGTGTGTGTGTGTGCGTGTGTGTGTGTCTGTGTGTGTGTGTGCGTGTGCGTGAGGAGGATCTCAATCAGACGTGCCTGCACGCACCAATTACAAGTCTGGCCGAGCGGCAAGCGAAAACAAAATCTCTTTCGCCCCATTCAACTCCCTCCCTCTCTCTCTCTCTCTCTCTCTCTCTCTCTCTCTCTCCCTCTCTCTCCCTCCCTCCTTATCGCAGCGATGCCCCTGTGCATGATATACATATGTTACGGAGGGTATCGAAAACACGGGGCGGGCCGCGCGCGCTCGCCACCAAACGTCACTGCAGCATTGTGCTGCTCACCCCCATGCTCCCTCCCTCCCTC